TCGCTTTGTTGTCCAGGCTAGAGTGAGTGCTGTGGTGTCAGCCTAGCTCACAGCAACCTCAAACTCCTAGGCTCAAGCAATCCTCCTGCCTCAGCCTCCCGAGTAGCTGGGATTACAGGCATGCGCCACCATGCCTGGCTAATTTTTTCTATATATATTAGTTGGCCAATTAATTTCTTTCTATTTATAGTAGAGACGGGGTCTCACTCTTGCTCAGGCTGGTCTCGAACTCCAGAGTTCAAGCAATTCTCCCGCCTTGACCTCCCAAAGTGCTAGGATTACAGGCGTGAGCCACCATGCCCGGCCCAAGACATAGGGTCTTGCTATGTTACCCAGGCTGGAGTGTAGCGGTTGTTATCGGATGTGATCCTAGCTCACTGTAGCCTCAAACTCCTGGGTATAAGAGATCCTCCTGCCTCAGCCTTTTGAGTAGCTGGGATTTTGTTACCATTACTATCTACTTTAGTAGATGTAGATTAGAAAATATGTATCTCCACGGGTCTGGGAGACAGAATCTTAGATTTTATTGATGCCAGGATCCTAGCTGGCAGGACTAGGAGAGAGAGTGTGGTCAGGCTATACTCTGGTTGAGCCTGACTTTAGAGGGAGACAGTCACTAAACTTTTATAGATAAGCCTGCACCCAATATTCTCAAATCTCCTACCTACTTTACCTTCTATCACCATAATGAAACCACCCTTTATAAAATTAATAAAGGCACAACTGTATCAACTCCCTTTAGAGGCAGAATAGAAAGAAAATTTAAATAATATAAAAATATATAATTTAAATATTTTTAATGAATAAAATTAAAAATAAAAGTAAAATTAATAAAGAGCTACAAGGTGGGAACTGTGGGAGGGACCTGAACTCTCATAGTTAAAACGTGTATGAAATCAGCTATTGTTCCATAGCTTGTGCTCCTGTAATTGCTCACTACTCAGGAGTCATAAAGATTCTTAGCTTTCTTCATTGCTCCCATAGATAACATCACCCTTGTGAAACCTAAGGCTAGTTTTTGAGATATCTTCCAGGCTCTGCATTGTGGTGGACTGGCTGATCCTCCCAGACCAGAGGTCCATATCAAGTAACTGACTCAACTGGTCTTTTGACCCCCACATAGTAACTGACTCAGTATAGGAAGAGAATTTCTACACCCTTATGATTCCACCCTGAACCCAGCCAATCAGCAGACCCCACTGTCTAGTCCTTTGACTGCCAAACTATCTTTAAAAACCCTTTCTCCAAAATTCTTTTTTTTTTTTTTTGCAGACAAGTCCATTTGTGAGCTAGAGTGATGCCATGCGTCAGCCTTAGCTCACAGCAACCTCAAAACTCCGAGCTAAAGCAATTGTAGTTGAGTATGGTATATAGGCATGCGCCACTAGATGGTAATTTTTTTTCTATATATATTATTGCCAATTAATTTCTTTCTATTTATAGTCAGCAGATGGGGTCTCTCTTTGTAGGCTGCGTTTCAACTCCTGACCTCCGGAGCGAATCTCCCGCAATGAGGGCCTCAGAGTGCTAGGATTACAGCGTTGAGCCAACCGGCGGCGGCCTCCTCCAAATTCTTGGGAGACAGATTGTAAAATTCAATTCGCTGCCTCCCTGGCACATGGTGTCTGGTTATTATGAACTCTTTCGTCACCCCTGGTACACACCGCCTGCTGTTTCAGCGTATAGGCTACTCTGGACACAGTGACCAGATGAACGCTGCGTTGAGTTGGTAAGCAATGCAACCAATTGCAATTTAATTGTCCGCTGGTGGAAAGAGAACGATGCCTAAGATCAGTTAAACAGAAGCAATTCGGACAGCTTCTAGTTGGTTTTAACATGTGGTTTATGTTCTTTTTGATTTATACCATTTGGGTTCACATCCCTCCAACCCTCTCGGCCGCGAAACTTTCCATAAGCCGCTGCTGCTATTTCTTCCAGTCCCATGGGTGAACGCTCCACCCAATATGCAACCTCCATGATAGTATAGACTAGTATGGAGGCGGGGTGTCATGAGTGGCTGGCACTTGGGCCAGGGCGGAGGCGGCGCATTGGCTCGAGGGTCGAGGAGTTCGAAACCAGAGCCTGAGCAAAGAAAAATGAGCACCCCATCTCTATTCAATAGGTATACTGGACAAGCTCTTCATAAAATCAGCCGCGGCATCGGTGGCGCATTGCCTGTAAGTGCCCAGCTACTCGGGAGGCTGAGACAGCATAGGATGCTGAGCCAGGAGTTGGAGGTTGCTGTGAGCTA